TGAAGTGAGGTAGTATTCCCCCATTTTACAGGTGGGTAAACAGGCTTTGGGAGATGAAGCGCCTTAGCATGGGGTTCCACAGCTAGCAAATGGCCGGGCTGGTTTGTACTTGGACACGGTGCGGGGAGCTCCCTCTGATCTGAGGGGCCAAGGAAGCCATAGGGAGGCGAGAGGTGTTCCTGATGGGAACAGCCTGGCCATGCTCTGTTCAGAGCTGAGGGCAGGGGTGGCAGGCCGGGCAGAATGAAGTGTATGGATAAAAGCACTGGGACTCGGTGAAGGCCCTGAGTTGCTTCAATACTTGGCCTTGGGGATCCTTGCCGGGGGTCGCTTCTTCCCTCCTGTCCTCCTCTTGGGGTGTGGGAGAAATCCCATGTGGGCTTTTCCACTTCTCACTGTCAATGTTGAGTGGCAGGTGTGTGAGTGACTTTGGGCCATGGGAAATGAGAGTTCTCCGTGGCTAATCTGAGGCTGGAACCAAGTCTGGGGGTACAGGTGGATGGGGACGACTTGCCTTTGGGCTGGGCAGGAGAACAGGTACAGGTCAGGATTCTGCCTTGAGTGTGGTCACTACTATAGAGCCTCTGATTGGTATACTGGTGCTATTCCCAGGGGGCCGTCCGGGGCTACTCTCGTATTGGGGTGGCAGTCTCGGCACCCAGGGGTGGTACCCAAACTGTTTTTGGCCGTTGGCTGCCCTTCTGGAGACTGGCTGTCGGAGGGCAGTTCGGGAAGGAGAGAAGCAACAGATGCTGGGTGTCAGTGGACCAGGCTCCCTTCTCTGCTCACCTGCGAGTCTGAAGTTGGTGTGGAGGGGTCGGAGGCCCTTACCATTCCTGTAAATCACGTTTATGTGCGCAAAACTCAGAAGTGTAAGAAACTTTGAGGTATTTGCAGAAAAGTCCCCTTTATCCCTAGTAGCTAGAACAGCCCTCTGTGGCAGGAATCTGGTTGGTCGGCATTCGGGAGCCCTGGTTGGCCAGCACGCCCACCAGTCAGGACCCCTGGTTAGCCGTGATTCCACAGGTCAACAGCTGGTTCGCCATGCTCTCGCCAATCAGAACCCCTGATGAGTCAACATTCCGCCAATCAGAACCCCTGGTTAGTCCATATTGTATTAGAGAAACTGAGCTGAGTTTCTGAGTTTTAGAGAAACTCGGAAACCTGTAACTTACAGGGCTATTTAGGTGAGCTATCCACTAGGGTCTTGGCAGTCTGTCACGAGGAACTGCAGCTTTGGGGTGAAGTCCGTTTTCTGGGACTTGAGTCTGGATTAGGTTCCCCTGTAGCTGGTTTCTGAGCCAGGAGGCTGGGCGGATGTACTTGGTGGTGAAGGGAGCAGAACGGCTGGAATGTTCCGAAGAGCCAGGATGAACGGGCTCCTGCCCCCTGCCTGGGTCCTTCACTCTCCGTTGGTGTCCCCAGTTCCTGGGCATCCTGGGGAGAAGGATGGAGCTGAGGGTCTCCCGGGGCAGAGATTTTCATGGGCGGCCGAGCTGGCTGGTTGGGGGAGGTGGGGCTGAACTCTGGTTTCTCTGTGGGTCCAGGGGGAGTTGGTAGGACTCGGATAGGGGCGGGAGGTGGGGGGCAGTGGGGGCTGGGACGTGCAGGAGCCTCGCTGCCCGCACCCTGCTCCTCCTGTCTTTCATGGTGGACTTGGGCAGGTCACTTCACCTCTGTGCGGTCCCACTCTTCGGTCGGGAGGGTCAGGGACACTATCTACTGAGGCCATACACGGGGCTCTGGTAAGCAGCAGCGGCTTCGTGAGCCATCAGTGGAGGGTACCATCAGCAGGCGCAGGAGAGCGGGGCCTTGGTATCTGCAGGTGCCTGTTGAGCACTGGTCTGGCTGTCTGACCTTGGTGGCTTGGACATCTCACCCCACCTCTTTTTTTTTTTTTTTTTTTAAGTAAGCTCTATACCCGACATGGGCCTTGAACTCATGACTCCAAGATCAAGAGTCATAGGCTCTTCTGACTGAGCCAGCCAGGCTTCTTACCCCCCTCTTCTTCTTCTCCCCCTCCACCTCTTCTGTAATCTACCCTCCCACCACAGAGGGTCTGGAGGGTACATCCAGACCAGGGAGCCGGGACTAGGTTCTACCCCCCACCCCACCCGCCGAGGGCAGGCAAACCACTGTGTATCAGGTCTCAGGGTGGCATCTTCTCTGCCACCCCATTGCCTCCACTGTAGGGGCAGGGAAACTGGGATGAGTGAGGTGCCTCTCGCCCAGAATTGGAGCCATATGACTGGTGGTCTGACTCTTAAGACTGGCCCTCATTCTGAGCTCTGAGTCTCATCTGTGAAGAAAGGGTTGTGGCCCCCTTTCGAGCATCGACACTCCAGGGCGCTGTGAGGAAACTGCATCCTGATGGAGGGGGTCCAGGGAGGACTTGGGGTTGCTGGTGGAGGAGACGGCTTGTCTGTGGACCTCCAGCTGAGGCTGACGTGGACTGCCTCTCTGTCAGGAGAGAAGGCCAAGGCCCAGGAAGGGGCAAGGATAAGTGCAGGGTTCTGCAGGCCTGGAATGGGACAGACGGGGTGGGTGGGTGGGGGGGGGTGGCCAGGAAAGGTCTTGGCTGTCTCCAGCTGTCACAGATGTGTTCTCCTGGGTTTTTGAGCAAACTCCTTTCCACCTGGGGATGGGCATGGGTGCTTGGGCACCTCTTTGAGCCCCGGGTCCCCATCGATGGAATAAGGCTGCCCATATTCCTTTTCCCCACTTCTCTAGAACCAGGGGTGTGAGCTCTCTTGGCCCAGGCCTGGACCAGGTCACCCCAGGAGGGCCCCTCAGGAAGAAGCCAGGGCTGTGGCTTTGGGTGGGGCCGGTGGCCTCTTCTGGGAGCCCAGCATCTGGAAGCCATCAGGCCAGGGGCGGGGGAGTTGCAGGAGAGGGCCAGGAAAGGGGGAATGCCTCCTCTAGGCCACACACAGGCCCACCCCTCAGGAGCGGTGGCATTGGGCCCACAGGCCCTGCTGCTGTCTTTGCCTCCTGCCAATGCCTCTGGGCCCACAGCCTCTCCCCCTTCCACTGGCCGCCTTCTCTCTCACCCCGCTGGCTGCTGCCACTGTAGGATGCAGTCACGTAATTTGCAGTAACATTGCTGACTGCATGCTGGGAGCTTTGCTTCGCTGGCACTGGGTGGGCCTGCCTCGGGGTGCGTGGACTTGGGGGGAAGTGTCTCCAGGGGCGCTTGATCTGATGCCCCCTCTTGGAGTGAGGGGTACCTGTCTCATTTTTGAAGTCTCAGCCCTGTCTGGGGCCAGGCTGTGGGAGGGATGTGCTCCCCAGTCCTCAAGCGGGCAGCGCTGAGGGAGGGTGGTCCAGGTGTGTAACAAGGAGCTCAGAAGTGTCGCAGGGACAGGTGTCTGCAGTTGCTCTTAGGGACCGTTGGTATCAGAATCACAGAGATTCTTGGTAGCCATTCTGGCTTTGGCGCCCCACCCACACATGCCGGCCCGGCACTGGGGCTGGGACCTGGGGTCTTCCCAGAGTGTACTATTCCGTCACCCTCCTGGTCTGCTGCGAGTGTAGGCAAATTCTGTACCGGGAGGGGATGATAGCCCTACTAGGGGCCCTCTGCAGAGGGATTGGAAAGACAGGGTCCCGCCAGGGCAGGGCATGGAGGGTACCTAGCCTGAGCCTGTCTCTGTCCTCCCCTGCAGCCTTGCCAACATTCCACTGACCCCTGAGACTCAGCGGGACCAGGAGCGGCGGATTCGGCGGGAGATCGCCAACAGCAACGAGCGGAGACGCATGCAGAGCATCAACGCGGGCTTCCAGTCCCTCAAGACCCTCATCCCCCACACAGATGGAGAGAAGCTCAGCAAGGTGGGCTAGGGCCCGGAAGCTTCCTGGAGGAAGTGGTGGGCTCCGGTGGGGAGAAGAAAGTGAGCCTTGGCAGAGGCTGCCTGCTAGGGTCCCTGACGCGTCCCTCCCGCCCCCAGGCAGCCATTCTCCAGCAGACGGCAGAGTACATCTTCTCCCTGGAGCAGGAGAAGACCAGGCTCCTGCAGCAAAACACACAGCTCAAGCGCTTTATCCAGGTAGTGCACCTCCCCCCACCCCTGTGGAGGCCCCGCTGCTGCCTCAGTGCCCTGCTGTCCTCCTGGCTCCCTTTCCTTTGTTTGGACTGTCCTGGCTCCACTGTGGCCTTGGACTTCGATGGGGTTAAGGGCTGCATCTTTCCCACCGACTTGCTTACTTCAGGCGTTTGCCTTCCTGGGCCTAAGTTTACCCATCGGTCAAGTGCAGCGGGGTGGGCTCTGGAAAGCAAGTCCATTCTGCCTCCCTGCCTGGCCTTTGGCCATTTTTTGGCTTTGTAGAACGGGGCTCTTTAGTGCCGGTGCACCTGGGCCAGGCAGGCTTGGGGGCTGTGGGGGGGTCCTCTGACTTTGCTGCTGTTGGTAGTATGGGGGCACACTCACTGGCCCTTGGGGTCCCCAGGAGCTGAGCGGCTCATCCCCCAAGCGGCGGCGGGCCGAGGACAAGGACGAGGGCATCGGGTCGCCGGACATCTGGGAGGACGAGAAGGCGGAGGACTTGCGCCGGGAGATGATCGAGCTGAGGCAGCAGCTGGACAAGGAGCGCTCGGTGCGCATGATGCTGGAGGAGCAGGTGAGGCTCCTGGGTTGAACAGGTATTTGCAGGAGCACCTGCCTTGTTCCGGACCTACGAGTGAGGGACCCAGCGGGGACCAAAGCAGACAGCTCACTTTCCTCGGCGTCACTGTCTGTATGGGGTGGAGGAACCTTAGTCAGAGGATCTCACACTGTAAAAACACAGCTGTGGACCGTCTGGGGTGCTCAGGTCACGATGTCGTGGTCCTGGGATCCAGCCCCGTGTCATGCTCCCTGCTCAGTGGGGAGTCTGCCTGTCCCTCTCCTTCTGTAACCCCCTGCCCCCCACTTGTCTGCGCAGGCATGCGCTCTTGCTCGCTCTCAAGTAAATGACTTTTTTTTTTTTTTTTTTTTAAGATTTTATTTATTTATTTGGCAGACAGAGATCACAAGTAGGCAGAGAGGCAGGCAGAGAGAGAGGAAGGGAAGCAGGCTCCCTGCCGAGCAGAGAGCCCAACTCAGGGCTGAGATCATGACCCAAGCCGAAGGCAGAGGATTAATCCCTTGAGCTATCCAGGTGCTCCTCAAGTAAATGACTTCTTAACAAAAGAAAGTAAGATAAAAACACAGCTGTAATAAAAGCCACATGCCAGCGGTGGGCACCAGAGAGGTGGACTTGGGCTGGTTGCAGAGAGGCTGCTCCACGGCCTCTCCGTGGAAGTGACTTTTGCTGAGGTTGGGAGGTCAAGTCTGGGGTCAACCATGCAGAGAGGGGAGAAGGGTGCTCCGCCCAGAACAGCCTGGGCAGGGACCTGGCGGTGGGAGGGTAGTGTGGGCGAGAGGGCGGTAGGAGAGGAGATGAGTCATGGCGAGCCCGGCAGGCTGAGCTGAGGACTTTGGTCTCTACCTTAAGGGTGGCCGAGCACCATTCTAGAGCTTGGCGGAGGACAGAGCTTGGGGTGGCCGACCTGAATGGTCCCAGGGCCGGGCTGGTGGTGGGGGAAGCGACAGGGTGTGGTCCAAGCCCTGCCCCTGAACCTATTGCCCTACCCCCAGGTGCGCTCGCTGGAGGCCCACATGTATCCGGAAAAGCTCAAAGTGATCGCCCAGCAGGTGCAGCTGCAGCAGCAGCAGGAGCAGGTGCGGCTGCTGCACCAGGAGAAACTAGAGCGGGAGCAGCAGCACCTGCGGACCCAGGTGAGCGGGAGGCGTCCGGGAGGGGCTCTCACCTGAGTATCCGTGCCTCTGGGCTTCAGTGGGGTGACTCAGTGCCCTTCGGTGCTTAGGGCACTGAAGCCTTGTAGTGGCTCTTGGAGGCCTGAGCTCTTACTCTTCCGATATTACTGATGGCGGAGTTGAGGCACAGAAAAGTTACATTGTATGCCCACTCAGGATCCTCAGGGACTTGGCTGTCTAAACCCAGCGTCTACGCTCCTGACAACCAGTGTGTTTTTCTTTAAGATTTATTTACTTTTATTTATTTATTTATTTTTAAAGATTTTTATTTATTTATATGACAGACAGAGATCACAAGTAGGCAGAGAGGCAGGCAGAGAGAGAGAAAGGAGGAAGCAGGCTCCCTGCTGAGCAGAGAGCCCCATGTGGGGCTCGATCCCAGGACTCTAGGATCATGACCCGAGCCGAAGGCAGAGGCTTTAACCCACTGAGCCACCCAGGCACCCCGAGATTTATTTACTTTTAAAAAAATTTTTATTTACTGATTTTAGAGAGACTGAGTGAAAGGGAGCACGAGTGGGGGGAGGGGCAGAGGGAGAGAGACTCCGAAGCGGACTCCCTGCTGAGCATGGAGCCTGACGTGGGGCTCGATCTCACAACCCTGAGATCGTGACCGGACCTAAAATTAAGAGTCGGATGCTTAACTGACTGAGCCACCCAGTTGCCCCTCAGCCACAGGATTTATTAGATGTTGAAGTGATTCCTTTGTGCTGGAGAGCGGGGTGGGGAGGGCAGGGGATCTCGGATGGCTGGAAGCGCCTTTCTGGACCTCCTTTCCCTCCTTTTTTTAAAATAAGAGGGGTGAACCACAAACTGGCTGGCCCTCTGAGTGAAGGAGTTCAAGTGCTGGGGTGGCTGGCAGAGGCTCTCTCAAAGCAGATGGTTTTGAGGGCCGTCCCTCTGTGAGCGACAGAAGGGAAGGGGCAGCTCCTGGAACCTTCGGAAAGAGACTGAGGGCCTCTGTCTTGCAGCTCCTGCCCCCTCCGGCCCCCACCCACCACCCCACAGTGATCGTGCCCGCGCCACCCCCTCCCTCCCACCACATCAACGTCGTCACCATGGGCCCCTCCTCGGTCATCAACTCTGTTTCCACGTCCCGGCAAAATCTGGACACCATCGTGCAGGTACCTGGGCTTGGGGACGGGTTCTCGTGTGGGAACAGGCCCTTTGTGTCCATCCCCGCTTCTCCCTTTCTGTGTCTCCGGTGGGAGGCGGCTCCAGAGAAGGTTTTGGGCAGAGAAGGAGGGGGTGGGCTGCATGCCCTGGAAGACCCCATTCCTTCCCTCTGTGGGATTTGCTGAGAGGGCTCTTTGCTCTCTGAGAGCCCTGGTGTCAGGCTCCTGCATCCAGCTCTTGGGTTGGTTCAGAGCTTCCTCTGAGCTCCATCTCCCAGGACCCGGGGCGGGGTGCAGGTGGCAGCGGCTGGGTGGGAGACAGGGAAGCCTGGATCGAAGGAGGAAGAAAGGAGATGATCGGCTCTGTGGGTCAGGCCCAAGGTTTCTGCTGTGCCCACCTTCGCGTGGTGCCCCTTGGGCAACCCAACAGCGTCACAAAGAAAGAAACAAACCAGAAAACCCCATCAACCCCTGCAGCTGTAGTTGCACATAAACCCAGTAAATTGAATAATAAAGTTAATGACAGAGACCATGCATAAGTGAACAGGCACTTTGAAATATATCCATGGGGGACGCTCGTGATTCTCTTGAGGAGTTTTTCAGCTTAGCAGAGGAGTTCCAAAGGTTGGGCGGGCCAGCCGCTGTCTTGCCAGGCTCACTTGTGGGCCTTTCTGGGCTGTGTGTGGGGGGTGGGAGGGGATGGTGGCTGTCCGAGTGTCCCCAGCAGGCCTCATCACAGCCTGCCCCACCCCCCCCCCGCCCCAGGCGATCCAGCACATAGAGGGCACCCAGGAAAGGCAGGAGCAGGAGGAGGAACAGCGGCGAGCGGTCATCGTGAAGCCAGCCCGCAGCTGCCCGGAGGCCCACGCCTCTGACACCGCCTCCGATTCAGAGGCCTCGGACAGCGACGCCATGGACCAGAGCCGGGAGGAGCCAGCAGGGAACGGGGGGCTTCCCTGACCACCCCCCAGCCCTCCTCTCCCTTCCTGGGGCTGGAGGGGGCCGGGGGGCAGCAACAGGGAGCGACGCAGGTGAACGAGTGAGGAATTTTTACAAAATTATGACGTCATTTGGGTCTCTTTTATGACCTCTTTTTCAATACTGTAAATCCACCTTTGAGCGAAGCCACCTGGCCTGAGGTCCCGGGGGGCTGGGGTGGCAGGAGCGCGTGGGAGAACCGGGACACCTGGGGCTGGGCCTCGCCCCGGAGGCTGGGGGAAGCTGACACAGCCTGGCCTCTCTCCGCCAAAAAGCATTTTTTCATTTCAACATGTTTTTAAGAACAGGGAAAATCAAACAAAACCCCAAGGTATTCTGCCCTCCCCAGAGCCAGCCTAAGACCGTCAGTTTTTGACTCTTTCCCTCCTCTTTTTGTTTTTTTCCTTTCTCCTGTAAGCACTTACATGGGTTGGGGGTCTGGCTGGGTCGGGGCTCTCTGGGGGCCCGGGGGTCTACAGTGCTTCTCGGTTGGGGTTTGCTGCTGCCCTTCTCCCCTCCCCTCCCAGCCTCGGCTCAGCACGAGGATTTGCCACTCCCAATCACCACCCAGCCCCACCTCTCCCTCCGGATTTCCCATCTTCTACCCCAAAAATGTCTTTGTCTTTCTCTTTTTGTTTTGTTTGTTGTTGGTTCTTTTTGGTTTTGGTTTCGTTTATCTTTTTTGTTTCTTGGTTTTTTTTTTTTTGGTTTTGTTTTTGTTTTGCTTTTTTGTTTTGAAATTTTTTTTCTTACAATTTTGAGGTCTTTGTGTTCAAGGAGAAACTATTATATTTTGTTAAGAAAGTGGGAAAACCAAGAGGCCACTGTGCCTTTATAAAGAAACAAAATAAAGTTTGTACTTTGTTTTTTAGGTTCTGTGTCTCCTGGGAGTGTGTTGTCCTGAGGAGCTGGGGAAGGCACCTGGAGTAGAGTATGGGTGCTCTTGGGGCCCCCCAGAGGGGACTGGGTGTGCCTGAGCGTGATGACTTCCCTCAGCTTGTGTTGCAATGAGCAGTCAGGGTTCCAGACTCCAGGGTTCCCAGGATTACTCCCTCAATCGTGCAGAGATGGGAGATGGTGTTAGGGGTGGGAGGAGTGTCTCCCAACTCCTAGGTGGGAGGCAAGGAGAGAATGAACCACCAAGAAATAGGTTCCTATGTCTTAGAGAAAGGACACAGGATGTTCAGGGGTCCTGGTTGTCCCTGGGCTTTGCCACTTCCTCATCTTGTGTAACCTCCCTGAACCTCAGTCTCCCCAGCTACAGAAGGGAAGGGAGTGTTACCTCCTGGTGTGGTGGTAAAGAGAGCAAGTCCTGGAGTCTGTCTGCCAGCAGCCAGTTCCTTCTTGGGGGAGCCCGTTGATCTCTGAGCCTCAGTTTCATCATCATCTGAAGCTGGAAGTCAGTGGACAAGGGAAGTTTGCCTTATTGGGTAGGGTGGTGGATCTTAAAGTCTCTGAATCCTCCGTGCCCAGAGAGAGCTTTACAGACTGCTCCCCTTGGGGTGCCTGGGTGGTATAGTCGGTTGAGCAGTTGAGTGTCTGACTCTGGGTTTTGCGTCAGTTAGTAATCTCAGGGTCATGAGATTGAGCCTTGCATTGGGCTCTACGCACAGTGTGGCATCTGCTTAGGACTTTCTCCCTCTACCTGCCCTCCCACCCCGCACATGTGCTCTCCTCTCTCTCTCAAATAGGTAAATAAATTAAAAACAAAAACAAAACCAAAAAAACCCAGATCACAAAAAACACCAAAAAACCCCTCAAGTGTTCCCCTTTTCCTGCTTTTTGTCATGTGTGCATTGTGACAGGTACATGGGCACTGAGGCCAGAGAGGAATGACCACTTCACATCTCACCCCACAGTGAATGCCTCTAGACACCGGCTTGTTGAATAGAAAGGGAGGCAGGAGCCTGAACATTTTTTTTAGAACTTTTAATGTTTTTTTTTTTTAAAGATTTTATTTATGTATTTGAGAGAGAGAATGAGAGAGAGATAGAGCATGAGAAGGGGAAGGGTCAGAGGGAGAAGCAGACTCCCCGCCGAGTAGGGAGCCCGATGCGGGACTCTATCCCAGGACTCCAGGATCATGACCTGAGCCGAAGGCAGTCGCCCAATCAACTGAGCCATTCAGGTGTCCCAAACCTTTAATGTTTTTAGGTGAAATTCACATAACTTAAAATTAAGTATTTTATTTTAAAGATTTTATCTATTTATTTGACAGAGATCACAAGTAGGCAGAGAGGCAGGCAGAGAGAAGGGGAAGCAGGCTCCCCGCTGAGCAGAGAGCCCGATGTGGGGCTCAATCCCAGGACCCTGAGATCATGACCTGAGCTGAAGGCAGAGGCTTTAGCCCACTGAGCCACCCAGGTGCCCCAAATTAAGTATTTTAAAGTGAACGATTAACTTTATAGTGAATGAATATAGGAATGAATATAGTATATTCATTGTTGGGTAACCGACACCTCTATCCATTTCCAAAACCTTTCGATCACTTTTAAATGAACTCCTTACCTCCTTCAGTCTCTCCCCATTCCTCCCTCCTCCCAGCCCTTGGCAACCACCAATCTGCTTTCTGTTGGAGTTTCTTTTTTTGTTTTTTTAAATATTTTATTTGTTTATTTGACAGAGAGCTAGAGAGAGAGCCCAAGCAAGCAGAGCGGCAGGGAGAGGGGGAGAGAGGGGGAGAGAGAGAAGCAGGCTCTCTGCAGAGCAGGGAGCCCGATGCGGGGCTCAATTCCAGGACCCTAGAATCATGACCCGAGCTGAAGGCAGCTGCTTAACCAACTGAGCCACCCGGGCACCCCTCTGTTGGAGTTTTTAAAGATGAAAGTGTTCCAGAGTTTTAAAAATGAAAGTGTAACTTACTTTTGGTAAAAGTCACACTTTTTAGTTTTTGGTTCTATGAGTTTTAACAAATGTGTAGAGTTGTGTAACTATCACTACAGTCCTCAGTCGTCATCCTCATTGTTCCCCCTGTCCCTTTGTAGTCCAGATGCTGGCAACCACACTGATCTGTTCTATAGTTTTGCCTTTTCCAAAATGTCATATAAATGGAATCATGCAGTGTCTAGCCTCTTCACTTTAGCTAGCTTCTTTCACTTAGCGTTATAGCAAATTTTCCTTTTTTGGGTCTATACAGATGAATTTACTTAATCACATTAAAAGGCGTGCCTGAGGGGAGGGGCTTACCTACGATCTGGGTGGGGACGCCCCTTCCCAAGGACCGAGGAGCTACCCTGTCGAAAGGGCCAGGTGCAAAGCGCTCTGGACAGGTTCCATGCAGCTCCTAAGAGCCTCAATAGAGGGCGCTGTGGGCCCAGGGCGCCAGGCCCGGCGAGGGCGGAGGCTCCGCCTCTTTCCGGTGCTCGCGGGACTGTTAAGTTCCTATAGGCCAGAAGAGGAACTTGGGGGCGGGGCCGGAAAGTCCCCCTCCTCCGACCCTCTGGCGTGCCTGGCGACAGTAGTTGGTCTCCCCAGCAGGTGGCGGAAGTCAAGGGCGCGGAGGCGGCCCCGCCCTTTCCCGGACACGGCACCCCCCCCATCCCGCCCCCTCGGTGCGCATGCTCCTTGGCGCCTCAGGCGGCCTTGCGCGCGCTCCCGCCAGCCTGCTCTCTTGGCCCCGCCCCTGTCCCCGCCCCCCGCGCTCTCTCACGTACGCCTCGCACGCAAACGCCGCAAACGTGCGGCTTCCGCGTGTTCTCCGCGCGGAGGCGCTCGCCTACCTCCTCACGCGCCTGAGGAGGCAAAGGACTCGCCCAGGTGTCAGTGACGTAGCCGGCGCGGTCCGGCGAGAGTCTTAGTGGAAGGAACAGAGACGCCGTGGAAGGAAGAGGTGACGTTAATTTTAATGACATGTTTAATTTTTAAGCCACAGCATCCACAGTGTCATCTTAGAACAGGTGACGAATGTAAGAAACTATGCAGGAAATACCTCATTTTTTTCTTCCTGCCGCGTTTGGGAAGCTTGTCTGCCTTGGCCGTGCCTATATGGGGACAGCCACGAGTCCAGGGTCAGCACCCACGCGCGGGGCAGCGACAGGGTCCAGGGTCAGCAGGAATGAGAGTGACAGTGACAGGGGTCCAGGGTCAGCAGCCACAAGGGGGACAGTGACAGGGTCCAGGGTCAGCAGCCATGAGGGGGAAGTGACAGGGGTCCGGGGTCAGCAGCCACGAGGGGGACAGTGACAGGGTGCAGGGTCAGCAGCCACGAGGGGGACAGTGACAGGGGTCCAGGGTCAGCAGCCATGAGGGGGAAGTGACAGGGGTCCAGGGTCAGCAGCCACGAGGGGGACAGTGACAGGGTGCAGGGTCAGCAGCCACGAGGGGGACAGTGACGGGTCCAGGGACAGCAGCCACACTGGGGTGTGTGTGACAGGGTGCAGGGTCAGCAGCCATACTGGGGTGTGTGTGACAAGGTCCAGGGTCAGCAGCCACGAGAGGGACAGTGACAGGGGTCTAGGGTTAGCAGCTACCTGTACAGTGGCCCCGGTCCAGATGGCCACGCCACCTGGGGGGCAGGCCCAGTGGCCTGGAAGTCCATGGTGTCCTGCAGGCTTTGCGCAGGCTGGCCTGGGGGGAGGAATAAGTGGAGAAGATGTGGGAGTGGGATGGCATAGGACATCCAAGGCTGCTGAGAAGCTTGGACTTTATTTTTCCTGAAGGGTTGGGGGCCTAGGAGAGACAGGATCAAGGCAGTGTTCCACAAAACCTCTTTATTGAGGTATCACATCATACACGCTCAGAAGAGGAGCATAGCTTAAGGGTTTAGCTCCGTGAGTTTTCACAAACTCGGTATACACCCGTGTACCCAGCACCCCACCAGGGCTTCAAGTGGTTTATTTTTTTTAAACTTTAAAAATTTTTGCGGAAACAACTAGGTGTCTAGGGAGGTACTGTGCACCCTTTACCCAGCCTCCCCAGTGTTACCGTCTTGCATACCTCAGGTCCAGACCAGAACCAGATCATCCGGCCCGGTGCAGCTCACCAGCCTTACTCAGTCACGTGTTACCAGTTTCATCTGCTTGCGTTTGGTATGGTTGTTGCTGGATCGTTTTACACCAGCCGTGTTGGAGTTGCTCTGCATCTTCCCCGGCAGTCAGCATCGTCAGACTATGCCTGCGTCTCTTCAGCCTTTCTGGTGGGGGTGGAGTGAAATCTCACCACCATTTTCATTTCTGTCACCACGGACTAGTTTTGCCTATTTTAGATCGTCCTACAAATCATATAGTATTTATACTCTTACTGTCTGTCTTTCTGCCCAACACAATGTCTCTGAGATGCATTTACGGTTTTCTGTGTACCAGCAGTTTATTCATTTTTATGGCCAAGTTTATTCCGTTGCATGTATACATACCACAGTGGATTTAGCCTTTCACCTAGCCGTGGACGTTTGGGTTGCTTGCGACTTACAGCTATCATGCGTATATTTTATTTTATTATTATTGTGTTTTTAAGTAGTCACCACATCCAGCATGGAGCCCAACATGGGGCTTAAACTCATGATCTGAGTTTAAGATCAAGAATAGGACACTTGGGGTGCCTGGGTGGCTCATTCGGTTAAGTGTCTGCCTCCGGCTTGGGTTGGATCCTGTCCTGGGAGGGTCTGGTCAGCGGGGAGCCTGCTTCTTCTCCCTCTGCTGCTCCCCCTCCTTGTGGTTTCTCACCCTCTCTCTCTCTCTCTCAAATAAAGGAATAATTAAAAATATTTTTAAAATGTAGGATGCTTAACTGAGCCACCCAGGTGCCTCTATCATGAATATATTTTAGTAGATATTGTCACCCCAAATAAATTGTGTGCCAATTTCCCCTTCTACTGTCATGTGTGTGAAGTGGTAAAGTGGCAGCGGAGGAGAAAATACATCCTGAACACGTACC